TTCTCTTCTCTTCTCTTCTCTTCTCTTCTCTTCTCTTCTCTTCTCTTCTCTTCTCTTCTCTTCTCTTCTCTTCTCTTCTCTTCTCTTCTGTTTTTCCAGATTTTTTTTTGCATTGTGACTTTTTTCTTTATAGTATTACATTTATTTTTTTTACATTATGGCTGAGCCACTTCACAGTCCTTGGATGCTGCACATTCTGGAGCACACATTTGGAGATAAAGCTGCTACAGCCACACAGTTGCATGACAGCAAAACGGCGTGGCCACGGGACATCCAAGCTGCTTTCTTGCACTCTGGACTTGGGGTTTACCTCACTGTGCAGTCTCAGTTCCTCTAGCTCTTTGAAATTCTCCTTTACCTAGTTATATTCACATTCCCAGAGTCTGAGGGTGAAAAGAGTCCTCTGTTATCCTCAGAGGATGAGATGCTCAGATTTGTTCTGACTGCTAATGGTCACGGAGATGTTGCAAAACCTCAGCTGCAAAACCTTCCATCTGCCTCTGCCGAGACAGCTTTGTGCCAGGAGACCAGCGGAATGAATCAGATCTGAAAATCTCTTGTGGCCTTGTTTCAAGAATATATGGCAGAGAGTGGGGCTTGCATTAAACTCAGTTGCTTGAATCAGAATTTAATGCTGCAGGAGACAGTACAAACCAAGCAGCAATTCTGGACCACATCAAGCCAAAACCAACCTTCCCAAGACAGCACTCCATCTCCTCCACCTCCACCCAGCACCAGGGAAACTTTCGAGTGGGGAGAACCTAACAGCTGCTGTGTGTAAAGGGGCCTCAGATTTGGCTCAAGGCATTCCAGTGACATTATACAGAATGAGTTTTATTGCTGTTTACCGCCAAAGAAAGCATTAATTGATGCAGAAGAAAAAGATCAAAGCCCTGAGCATTCATTTGCTTTATAGTGCTTTTATTTCCTTTCAAAAAGTGCTGCTGATAATGCTTATACTGTGAGAACTTGCACAGTGTGACTGTAGATACAGACAGACTATACTAGAACGATACCTTCTTCCAGTGACAAACAAAAAGGGGATAGAGGAAGAAGCAAAAGCACGTCAGGAAAATTCTTTGCAGTATGTGCTATGCTTCCTTCAATTTTTGTAATTCTGTAACACATTTGTTCGATGTATGCAGATACAACTACTTTCAGCTTTGGTTCGGGAAGAAATAAATAAAGCCAAGTATGCACCAAAGCCAGAAAACCACAAGCATTTCCTGTCTATGGCCAACTTATATTTAGTCCATATATGAGGATACAGCCATGGCTATATCTGGGCAATCTGTCAAGTAGTTTCCTTATTCTACATGACAATTTCTCCAGAGCTGTCTACAAATTCCTATCTGCCTCAGTAACCACACAGGAGTATTTCTCAGCTTTCACATACTCCATGTACTTCCTTTAGTTCAGCATAACTTTCCTTCTCCTCCTTCTGCCTCCAGTGCTCTTACTCAGCTGCTCACCCAGACCCAGCTTGCTGGCACTGATTTCTCTGTAGCTGCTTTATGACACAGTGCCTGGAGCTGCTGTGTGCCCGCTGGGCTCCAGCCCCTCTCCTGCAGTCGTGGTGCCACACAGATGCCCTCCCTCCCATCTTTGCACTCTCCTGCACTATGCAAATGTCTCTTAGCTGTACACAAATAAACTTAGACTATTGTCAGTTATAACAGTGAGTCACGTTCTAATTCTAATGATGCTGAAAAATGATAATTACATCTCAAGGCAATAGTCTTCCCCGGCTTAAAGTGTTAGTTTGTTTACCACATCTCCTCCCCTTGTGCACATTCATTAGAAAGGCTGAAATAGCACACACAAATGCTGTGTGTGTCAGTGGGGCAACAGACGACCAAAGTGCTAAGTGTGGGGAAGCAGGACTGCTTCTGCCAGGGTGGAGGGATGGCTAAATGCCTGTGATATGCAGTGAAGTCTGGGCAATGGAATAAACATTGAAAGGGTGGCCTGAAAAGCTCTGCTGCAGGAACATGTGGCTGAATCCAGGGCAATTTTTGGCAGGAAGCTGACTATGAAACCATCTCTTCTGGCAGCAAGAGACATGGTGATTCTGCAGAGCAGGAGTACAGCCCCTTCTCAGCTTCTTAGCAGCAGTGGTTATTGATTTGAAGGCCTGTATTTGTACAGCAGTACAGCAGTGCTGCAGCCTGGGGGGAGAAGCAGTTGGATTTTAGTCAATACACTTTTAAATCAAGCTAGTTATCTCTGTGGTTGTGGGGTTTCTGAAGCTATCATTTAAAAACTGATAAAATGTGATATAAAGAAGACTTACCACCTCTGTGAAGAATTATTGTAGAGTCAAACACCTCCTTATTACTGTGATCATGAAGCCACCCAAATTAGCACTCCTGTGTGTCACAGAGCATTGGCAAAACAAATCTAAAGTGCAGACACACAGGAAAACAACTGATAACGCCAGAAAATGCAATTGCTAAATTATACCGACTGTTTCATCCCTTGCTCACGCGGCAGCTCCATGTTTCAGTCAGGATGGCTTTTCCTTGGCTTCTAAGCGCCACCTGCTGAAACACGAAGCCACGTGTGAAAGCCCAGCACTGGGACACTTGTGGTGCCATCACATGGTGCAGCTCCAAAAGCGTTGCTCAGACGGGACCTGCGGGAAAAACGAAGCCCACAACAAACTAAGCAGTATTTCACTTATTAGTAGTCTATGGCCCTAAAGAAATTTGGGCAAATAAAAACAAAAGACAGAGTTTCCAGAATTTCTTCATCCTTAAAATGAAGTAGGCATCAGTGTCCACAGAAGCACTAGCTCCATAGCAGTAATTCAGAAATTCGTCTTTTGTAACTAAAAATTATTAAAAACAGCCTTTACAAGTTTGATGGCTATATACTGTGGCTCAACAGACTATATTTTGCAAATACTTCATTTGCATCCTCCGGGGAAGTCTGATTTTTACATGAGACTCTCCTAACCTGATATTAGGATGTAGGATGTATTGTTGCAGCAAGCTCCAACACAGAATTTAGTTGAATGACTCTAAGGTGAATGGATTGAGATTTTTTAATTGGGAAATAGAGCTGCTGCTGTGGGGTCAAAGAAAAAGAAAAATAAAAAAGAAGAAAAAAGAAATCTGGTTATTGTTAAATATTGACAGCATAACTTACATGTCACAGTGAAATTAGATTACTCCAACATCAGGGCCATCACCGCATGAAAGTAAAAAGCCCCAAAGGCTTGCCAAACAACAGAAGAAATGAGACACAAAGCAGAAATGCATTGATGAAAATGTCTAAAGGAATAAATCTATGCCACAAAGTTGGAGCTTCTCTAACACAGTCTGATAATTGTTTTTATTTTTTTTTCGCAGGAAATGTACATAAGCTTAAAAAAAACCACTCCCTCTTTTGAAAGTTAAAAAAAATAAAAATACTGCAGCTTTTGGAAAAAAATACCATGTTTTCAATGAAAATAAAGGAACAGATTTATCTCAGGAAAATAAATACTTCTCACATTTTACCACAATCTCTGCTTTTCCAAGAAAGCAGAGACTTGATTCCACTTCGACAAAACCTTGTGCTTCTGTTCTTTCCAAGATATTCAACTAAGGCTGGACCCTGTCCCCAGTCTCCAGCTGCAGCTCCTGTTGGGATCAGTAGCAGTGCTGTGGGCTGGGGGAAGCCTGGGTCCAGGTTTTTGTGGAGGTGGGGCTGCTGTACCTGGGGTGGCTGCAAACCTCCAGGCACGAGAGTGGAAGAGGTGCTAGAGCCAAAACCAAGCTCTCTTTGAAACCACAGGGCTTTCAGACTCAGCTGAGGCACACCAGTATGGGCTGCTGCAAATAGAGAGGCAGCTTACAGACACCTGAGGACTTTCTGCTCACCCTACAAGAGAGGAAAGCTAAAGAAACAGGGTGAGCTGTGACCACAGTGACAAAGACAGTAGGCAGCTGCTGGCAGTGCCAGGTTGCTATTTAGGCATTACCTGTTTTACTGGGAAACCTCAGTGTGCTGCTGCTGCTGCTGCTACTCCCAGTGTGGAGGATAGGAGCTGCAAGCCAAAAATCAGCAAAATCACTGGTCTTGCTCCTTCTGTGCAGTGACAGCTCTGGGATGGCAAAGCTGTGCTCTGCCCACACTGCTACAGAGGTTTGAGGCAGCACTGTGTGCAAGGAATTACATAAAGGCAAGTTGGCTTTTATACAGTAATGTGCACAGGTGATTTCATCTGCAAAACTTCTGCTGCTGCCATCTGCCTCTGCCAAGATAGCTTTGTGTCATGAAAGCAGCAGAATGAATCAGATCACTGAAAGTCTCCTGTGGTCTAGTTTCACAAATATATGGCAGAGGGGCTTGCAATAAACTCAGGTGCTTGAATCAGAATTCTGTTCTGCAGGAGACAGTATAAAACAAAAAATATTTCTGTATCACATCAAGCCAAAAATTTCCTCTCCCAGACAGAAACATGAAGCCACAAAGAGCACAGGGAGGCCAGAATGAAAATGTAGTGAAGGAAGCTGCAGAAGTGCCACCTTTCCCAGAGGAACACACCAGAAGAAAAGTCTGTCCCACACCTCTTTTCCCCCATACTTCGTGCTCTTTTAGAGTAGGGGGTGGTGTCACCGAGGTGCTCTGATGGTTCATGCAGAGGCAGGAAGTGGGGGCAGAGTTCTGGAAGGATTATAAGGCAGCCTTTTCCCTCTTCCCCGCAGAGCTCTACCAACATTTTTGGAGCAGACTTCAGTGCTGGCCACTGGGGAGAGCAGACCTTATTCCTGACAAGACACTGTACAAGCGTCAGGCTGGAATTCAAGGTGCAGGCAAAACCTCCACCTCTGGGACTGCCCCCCAGCCCTGCAGACTCAGATGTTCCTGTGGTTTGTGCCATCCTGTTTAGCATCTGTTGCACAATCAGAATGAAGAAATAGTGCTTCTAACATGAAGCACCAACCAAGATCTCTCATCTTGATGCTAGCACCAGATACAATGTTGTGCATTGCCACCTATCTCCCAAAATCTGCTGTGTGTGCTGTGGAGCCACAGGCTGGCAGGACAGCATCACCAGTTATCTCCTGCATCTGCTGGGTCTGTAACCAGCACACTGCAGCTGCAGCGTTCTGAACAGGGGCCTTTCAGCTCCATTTTGGGGTCTCCAGATCACAGACAGGGAGAGTGAAGTGTTGAAGGGAGGCTCTGGGCACTTGCTGTTAGTTTTGAAAATCCCTCTTGTCTGGTTCAAATCCCTTTAACTTTCCTCTAATCCCTGAAAAGTGCTTCCTCTGAATGTCCAGTGTGTGCGTGTGTCCAGTCTGCATGTTCTCCAGCAGAGATTTTACTATCTGGCAGCTAATGACTGTTTTTGTTCCATTAATTTGCACACATATTAATCAAATTACATTTCATACAGATTCCAATTTGAGTTCTACAGCATTTGATAACTAGTGAAAAATCATGGTTTTTGTTTCCCAGATGATTTATTCTTTCCTGAAAGCACCTTTTCTGAAGTTACCAGTTGTTATTCAGACTGCTCCAAGAACAACTCTGCTACCATAGAAGTGAAAGGAAACTGCCACTGACTTCAAAAACACCTGAAACCAGCCCTTGGAAACACGGTTCTGTACAAATGTTGAAATTACTCAGTTGGGAACCATGTTCTCAGGAAACATATCTAGTGAGCAATGAGGTCCACATGCAGGCAGACCTGAGCTGGGAACTGTTCTAAGAGCACCAGGGATACACCACCAGGGTGAGAGGGTTTAAGCTCTCCTGGATCACGTCCTTCAAGTCCCCACACAAACCCCATTAGTCCAGCTCAGCCTGAAGCACAGGATTTTCCCCATCTCCCACAGGCTCAGCTGAGGCTCCCAGAAGCCAGTGACAAAACTCCTGCTGGGTTCAAAAATGTACAGTTGCTTTCAGTACCAATCCTCCCCTCTGAAAATGTATATTGGTTTGGGATTAAATAAGTTTGGAAGGTTATTAGTACCAAAGACCAACTGACTGCAGTTATTCAGATTAAAACTTCCACTTCACTTGAACAAATATCAGCCTGTCTGATCACTTCAGAGTGTGAAGACATGAGATAGCAAGTCAAAAGGAAATGTTTCTTTCATTTTGTGATTCCCACAGTCCATCCACATTACTTTCTTTCTGTTTGAAAGAGAAGACAGATAGCGTTACATCATGTTGTGAAACCAATTAATGAAAGAGAAATGCTTGTGTTTTGTTCAAGCTGCTAGACCATGTACAGCCCCTATTTGATAGTAAGTTTGTTTTTCATTCATATTGGCACTTTAGTAGCATTGCAGTAAGTTAAAGGCTCCTCTTATGATGGCTGGTAATCATAAAGGGAGTTTCTCCACCGGTTTCCAGTGTCAGCAAGCATGCAAGTTTCCGGAGTCTTACTGGTCAAGAAAATAACAGAGTTTGTACAGCCTTCGCCAAGGAATTGCAAGCAGCTGTTGCTCATACTGAGAACATTGCTGGACAAAAGAAAAACAGGGTTTGCAGAGGATCAGTGCAGCAAGCTCTCAATACTTCAGTGTTTGAGCTGTTAGCAACCCAGGCTGTGACTTCATCAGAAAAGCTGTTTTGAAGTCCATTCTATAACCCTGCACTGCTTTTAGCTGCCTACTAGCCTGAAATGGAGCAAATGCTGCCATGCACAAGACATTTACGCTTTGCTATAGCAGCAGCTTCTCAGTCTGGGAGAGCAGCAAAATTATGAGAGAGAAGCACAAAGTAGAAGAAAAAGAAAAAGATATCGAAGCAGTAAAAATTAGATACCACACACTAGGATTTTTCTGGATTTTTTTTTATAGTTTCCTTTGTGTACCATTTCTCCCCATCTGTATGGACAAAAGATGAACAGAGACAGCCTCATTGGTGTGACAAGAAGGGTAGATCTTTATTAAGCATCAGAAATGGAAGACAAGAAGATAAGATAGTTATGAGTTCTTCACTTCTAAGAAAGCTCCCTGAAGTCGTGTCTTGGTCATAAAACACTGCAAATACAAACAAGTAATAAGCAACTTTCAGTGTAGGTATGTACAGGCAACAGCTACCAGGTTAGCAAACATTCTAGGAACAGAGAGCAAAAAATGCTGTAACACATGTATCCCCTTTGAAGAAAAATACAAGTAAAATGATCTCACAATACAGAAATAAAGGAATCAGAGTGGGAGGAGGAGAGTGAAAATCTCTAAGAAGTTGCACAGGGAGTTGAAACATGGTATGCACAGGAAAGTTGTCTGTATGTTTAGTTGTGAACCAGGGGGAAAAAACAGGGCTTTAAAAAGCATTTTGCATTTATCCTGGTCCATGTCTCCCCTTCTTTGTTTACCCCTTGTTTTGGTTTAATTTTGTTTCCCGGCCAATGCACCAAATTATATCTTCATTTTGATTTGCCAATTTAAATAAACTCATTTTTTCTGTTGTGAGACAGAACCAGGAGCAAAAAAGCAAGGCAGGCCTGAAACTTAAGAGAGCATAAAAAAAGAAATTTATTAACTACACAAACAAAGAGGGGGAGAAAACAAATTCAGAATAAGATTTTTTCAGACCACTCCTTCCTTCCCTCTCCCAACCTTCATAACAACAAAACAAACATACAACAAATACTTTGGTCAGTTCCCAACTAAGTCTTTTTCAGTTCACTTCCGGAGAGAGAAGCCTCCTCTCGTTGAATCTGTTGGGATTTTTTCCACAAGAAGGAAGAAAAGGTTTTATCTTTCACGATTTGCATCTGCCCCGGAACCTGCAATCGTGACTCTCCTCCCAACTCCACAGCCTCCCCAAAGCTGTAGATGTGGGCCATGTCTGTCTCATGGGGTATTACTTTTAAGAATTAAATGTTCCACAGCAAAGGTTTTCTTCATTTCTTTTCTCTCTGTTCATGCTTCATCCTCAGAAAACCGAGATCCCCTTCTTTCCTCAGGGCAAAGATTCTCAACACAGGTGCTCTTTGGTCAAATCATCCATCAAATGGAACATCTCCAAGCCCCCATGTCTTTCTCCATGGTTTATAGGAATATTCAGTACATCAGTTCATCCCTACAATCTTACAAAAGGAATTTCAGCCATCTTAACAGCATCTCCTCATTCTCCTTCCATCTAAAAAACTTAGCTCGTGCTTCATTGACTTCAGAAATCTTCTTATTCCCTTTCATATTCAAAGGAAGGCCGGAGGTTTTGCAAATCTTATCTGAGCACTAAAGAGTTAAAGTTTAACACAACTACAAGAGTTGGGCCATGTTGTAAATAAATTTACAAGTTAGCCTTGTTCCACCAAAAGTTACTGTTTGTTAATTGATAAATTGTTAATTGCGTTAATGCTGTTAATTGTTAGTGTTGTGAAGTGCCCCAGTTCAGTTGTGATGTTGGTTTCCCTATCCCTTGATCCCTTGATTGTGCACCCCCCCCCCCCCTTTTTTGTTCATCGGGTATTGCTGATGCTGTTCCAGCATGGCACCAGAGGAGGTGACATCATAGGACTTATATGCAAACTGTGGAACTGAGGCATTATGGGTACCATTTGGGTAAATAAATCCCCTATAAAACGAGCCAGCTGAAGTTTCAACAAGCCAAGATGGTCTATCTGTATCGGGAACTGTCTCCTGGAACGGTGCTCTCATGACACCCAGGATCCTCACCCTGACAAGAACAGTGCCTGACCAGAAATGGGACCCTAGACAGTGAGCCAAGCCTGTCTTTCTAGGGTACTCCTGTGAGGATGGAAGCCCCAGCTCTGCCCTTTGTGGACAAAGCTGCATAGAACCTCCTCTTCTGCATCCTCATCTGGGAGCAGAGCAGCAGCGGTGTGTGCGCACCCCATGAGTACCCCACCCACAATAAAGAGCTGATCCCTTAATAAAGGCCTTTCAAAGGCAGCTGGTCTCCTGGCCCTTTTATTTCAGCCCAGGCCCAGGCCACGCTGGGTGGAGAGGGCTGAGGTGTCAATCAGCCCTTCTGGGGCTGGGCTACAGCCCCACCCTGCCCATGGCCACCCCTGCTCCCCAGACAGGGCCCCACCCTGCCCATGGCCACCCCTGCTCCCCAGACAGGGCCCGGCTGCCTCCCCCAGGCTGTGCGGGGCCTGGGCAGGCCTGGCCCTTCCAACAGCTGTGGCAACCAGACCCCAGAGCCACAGGCCCGTGGAGGAGGAAGCCATGAAGGTTTTATCAAGGAGCCTCTCCTCCTCCCGGCCATTGGGTCCCCTCATTACAAATGGGGCCCAAGTGGCCTCCTGAGCCTCCCCCCACACAGCAGGGGGAAACTCGGGTTGGTGTCACCTGCTCAGACACCAGAAAGACAAAGAGGCTCAGTTCCAGATTACCTCCTTCAAAATGTGTGTTCATGGAGCAAACTAACTTTCTCCCTTTGGTTGTTGAAGGTGTCCCAACCCACACAGAGGAAGCTCCCTTAGAGAGAACTTCTCTCTGAGTTTCTTCTTCCCAAGTCAACCCATCACACCCCTCCAGCCTCCTGGTACTGGGAACTCACATGTTCCCAGCAGCAAGATCTGCAGTTGCTCAATCACACTAGCGAGACCTGCAAAACCAAGAGATACTGCAGTGCTACAGGTGACAGGTCGACATGACCTTCTTAGGACAGACTTCCTTCCATTTATAACAGCCTTTCCAAGACCACCACACTTTCAGAATATTTCGGTTTCCATCTCTTGCATCCTCTGCCAAACAGAGCTGTATCTAACATCGCAAGAGGGGATGTTCAAGAGCCACAGCGACCTACTGCAGATGTCAGAAAAGAAAAGAGCATCTGATCTCAGAAAAGAAAAGACATACCAGGAATGCAAAGAGAAAAAGGACAGATGTGTGGGGTGGCCAAATGCCAGATCTACTCTCTCTGATTATGCTTTGATCCCTTGGGGCTGAGCCTACTGGAGCATCTGGGAATTAATTCTGCAGATTGAATGTAATTGGCATAGTTACTGGAAACTGTTGTTATGGAACAGGAGAGTGTTGTTGTGCATACACTTAATCAGAGGAACCTATAAAAGGTGAAAGAAAAGTCTTGCTTCTTTAACTATATGATCAGAGTTTCCAAGCATTCTTCATCATGAGGATAAAGTAGACGTCTGTGTCAATTGAAGCGCTGACTCCAGCATAGTAGTTCATGAATTCTTCTGCTGTGACCTGAGACAGAGAAATTAAAAATAGGAAAATGAATCTTTGGTTTTATTTAATGCTGTAAGTCAAAGCCACACATTGAGAAGAACTCCTAATGAAACTGAACATCTGCTATTTCATGTTGTTGCTAACATAAAGGAATCCAACAGGAGGAATTATGACACTTAAAATTTGCTTAATTTCACTTTGCTAGAAACAAGAGCTCCTGTCCTCCATAAAACTTGGATGGAGATGAAACATGTGAAGTTTAACTAACCTTACCAGGAAATGAAGTTTAAATCACTGCTGCCTAAGAAGATAAACTTTTTAACGTACTTTTTTCCAGGGATGCTATAATCTGGTTCTTTGCATAATTATTAATAAAGTCGATGGTGTTTCTGATGCAATTCAGAGACAGCTTGGTTCTTTATATCCACCCATTGCTCTAAACAAGTCTCCCTTAATGAAGTTTTTAGGTTTAAAAATGACCATTAAAAAAACAAATACTCAAATTAGCAAAGAGAAAAACTGTGCATGTCTCTTGTGATGCCTTACTTCCTGAATTATGTAGATCATTCTTTGAATAAACATCACATAGAAAAATACAAAACAATATTTAAAAGACATTTAGCTATGACAGAATGTCCAAAGGAGGACCAGGAGGATGATGAAGGGTCAGGAGGAGAAGCCGTGTGAGGAGTGGCTGAGGTCACTTGGTCAGTTCGGCCTGGAGGAGACTGAGGGGAGACCTCACTGCAGTTACAGCTCCATGAGGGGGACCAAAGGGGCAGACACTGAGCTCTGCTCTGTGTAACTACTGACAGGATGCAAGTGAATGACCTGAAGTTGTGTCAGGGGAGGTTTAGGTTGGATATCAGGAAAAGGTTCTTCCCCAGAGGGTGGTTGGGCACTGGAACAGGCTCCCCAGGGCAGTGGTCACAGCCTGACAGAGCTAAAGAAGCACTTGGAAAATGCTCTCAGGGACATGGTGTGATTTCTGGGTGTGCTATGCAGGGCCAGGGGCTGGACCTGATGATCCTGATGGGTTCCTTCTAGCTCAGCATATTCTGTGATTCTGTGATATCTGCTCTGATTGCATTGTGTGTTTGAGAACTTAGAAAAACATGACAATAGGGAGAAGGGACCACTTCAGACTGTCCTACCATCACAAGTGTCACAAAAACTGCCTATTTCAGAGGCACCCAGCAAGACCACGGTGAAGAGGGCCTTTCTAACAAATGCTCAGCCTTGAGGGATTTCTGCTAAAAACATTTTAATTTTAGGTATTCGGTATCATTAGTGTCTTCTGATTCAGGAAAGCCACAGTCTGTTCTCAGAAGAAACAGTAATCAAGTGAGCTAACATCAGGATTGTTGAACAAGAAGTGGATGCTTAGAGTAACCAAGCACTGAACTCATCAAGGATCAATTTGGGAACTCATTTAATGTGTTCATGTATGACCTCAGCACAAAAAGCGAGAATATTTTATTTGAAATTTGCTAGATTTCACCACTGTTGTGGAGGTAGAAGGAGATAGCTGGCTCTGAACTGGTATCTCTGAGTATGACACTGCAGCAGAAGGGATGAAATTCAGCTCTACTAAGTGCAAAATCATGCCCAAAGTAGATAAAGCCCATCACCTCTCTCCAGCTGAGAGTCTGAGTAATGGGAACAAAGCAAGTAAAGGATTTGGGTGGGGAATTAGACAGGTAAGAGTCACCAGCACAATGCAGCCCTGAAAACCCAGGTGCAGCCTGGAGTGTGGAAAGTGTTAAAGAAATTCCACAAAGCACTGATAAAAAACTTACAGCCTAGTTTGTTATTATTAATTGCTCAGATTGAGATTATCACCACATGAACCACAGAGCTACAGGATTGCTCTGAGCTGGTCAACAGATTTAAGTTCAGACCAAAGAAGTTTGCAGACAAAACAAGGGAAAAGGCTGCAAATGTTTGCAGACACAACAAGGCTGCAAAGGAGATGTATAAGAAGTGCATCACAAAAGGTGCCCAGACTTTGCACCTGAACCAGACAGTTGAGCCAGAGTGCAGAAAGAGCTCCCAGCTCTGTCCCAGCTCATGTCTCGTTAGGGTACATGCTCATGGCAGTAGCCCCAGCCCCATTCTCCATCTGACTTTCTGTAGATAGATCTGTCTCTATTATGGACTGATTTCCAAGTTAAGTGTCTTAGTCTTCTCACTGGAGAAGAACTAACTGTAAAGTATTTAACAAAGCAGAGAACCTCCTTTTGAACTGGATCCTAGTATTTATTCTCCTAAGAAGTGAAAAATCCCCCCATTTATGTGGATCTTGAAAGTAAGCAATTTTGTGGGGTAGTCTGAAGATGTATTTAGTGTAATCTATGAAATTTGATTATTAAGGCTACAAGCCTTAATGCAATCTCACAACCACCCTTGTACCTCCTGCAGAGCCCTTCTGCCTTAGAATGTGCAAGCCGGCTGTATCAGAAGTGCAGTGCACAGGTTGTGCATCTACTTTGATTTTCCATATAAATGTAATGCAAATGGTACTGCAATTACTCCCACACTTAGTAACCTAAGTCAAATTCTGAGTCAGATGGTGATTTCATGGCTTGCAATTAGGCGCTTCACTTACCTTCCCATCTTTGTCATAGGGTGAATCAAAATTATCCAGGAAGTGTCTAAAAACTTGATCTTCTGTCCAGTCTCCATTTAAGTATTTGGGATGATATTTTACATTATACACCCCACGTAAATCATCAATTGTTATGACACCATCTCCAGTCTTGTCTAACTTCTGAAATGCCTGCAGGACAATCTCTTTTCTTGCATTGGACATGGGAGGCTGTAAAGAAATATTAACAGAATAATTTTATTTTTGCCAACTTCATGCCCAGTTCCAAACTCAAATACTTGCTGTTGCTAGCAGCAAAACTTTCAAGGTAGATGGGACTGGTGATAGCCTCCACTGTCCATGAGCTAGAAAGGGCAATGTATCCTCAAAGGAGCAATATGATTAAGATTATTCAGTGTCTACCCATACAATAGCAAATGGACAATAAGAGAGAAAATACTACCTAGAACACTTTTCTGATCTGCCCATTTTAAATATTTCCAACAAGAAAGTACTAATTACCCGAAGTACTAATATTTTCTATCTAAATTTTTTAGGCTTCAGCAGAGCAAAGATATTTCAGACAAAATCAATCACTGTATTGGATTAGAGGAAGTCTCCCCTGTTATAAAGAGATGCATCAATGGCCAACAAAGAAGTGAGATTGATAGGCTGAACAGCACAGGTATCCAGACTGCAGCACAGGAATTTTGGTATCTAAGTCAAGGCCATAAATAATGGAAAAAATCACAACTATTTATTTGTAAATATTCTATTCTACTTTGTACTGTTCTGTTCTATTTTAATCTATTTAATGCAATGACAACATGAATTCCTAGACTCACTCTCAGTGTAACAATAAATTCATCAAAATCAATTGTTCCACTGCCATCCTTATCAAAGATCTGGAAAAGCTCTTTTGCTTCTTCCTTCTTGATCACCACCGAGTACTTATGTAGTCCTCTCAGAAACTCATTGAAATCAAAGGTTCTGCTGTTGTTACCATCGATAATCCTAAATAATCTGTGGAAAACATGAAACATGAGGAAAATGCATAAGAAAACGTAGAGTGCTGCAGTGGTTTAGCACAGTACTGGAGCAGAGAGTGACCTTATTGAGATAAGATTTCCTCCTTGTTCTGTATTCTGAGGTGAAAAGGAAAAGAAAAAAGAACAGAAAGAAGAACAGAAATGGAGG